GTTGTTTAAACAAGTCAGTTTTATCAGCGTCTTAATACACTGTTGAACCGATTTTTATATGCAGGTTTTAGCTAAATAAGTAGAGTAATCAATAGGCTAACTTCACTCAGGACAGTTTAATATTTTACAAGAAAGATGGCATTTAATCTGGAAGCCCTGATATAATGTTAGTCTCATTATTACATCATTTGTCTCTCAGCTATAGCAGACTATAACCTCTTACCTATCTCTTTCAGTTTCTCACTTTTGCTGAAAGACTTGCTAATATTAATATTGATGTCATCCATCGTATTGACAGAACTGGATCTTATGCTGAGGTATGTTCAAACAGTAATCATGGCACTGTAATTATTCCTCTCGTTCATGCAGTAAACGTCCCCGTTTGTATGGCTTGTAACTGATTGGTGATGACTTTTTATGCTCTTATGCAGGAAGTAGAAACATACTTTTCTGAAGGGCTAACAAAATGGAGAGACCTCAACTTGACAGAGCATTTCAGTATGTATACAATGAAAGAAATTGTACATAATTTGCTATATTATAATCTTGTAGCAAGTGATATGTTAGGAGCATAAATAGCTTAATATTTCTACTTCTAAACCTGAGGAAAGGTGTTTGTTTCCAGCTAATGTAACACTGATACCTTTCCTCTACAGCTGCATTTTTGAGAGAGGTATCCAACAAGAGCCAGTCATTCAACATGCTGGTTTTCCATCAGAAGTCAATAGTGGATAGTCTGAAAACACACCTTGCTGTCAAGAACAGCCTGGCCTACCAGCCACTCCTGGAGGGAGTTGTTGTCTGTAATGTTTTGTGTATGACTTGTGTTTACTAGTTGAGGATATGCTAACTATTTTTTTTTCCTCCAGCCTGGTGGTGCAGCTGGCTATAGATCTACAAACTGACTTCTACCCCCATTTCCCTGATTTCTTCATTCTGATCACCTCGCTACTGGACACAAAGGACACAGAGGTCCTGGAGTTGGCTTTCATATGTCTCTCCTACCTCTACAAGTACCTGTGGAGGCTTATGGTGAAGGACATAATCAACATTTACAGGTGAGAGAGATTGATGTAGACTCTGTGGACACTTCTGAGGTGAATTTTCAAGCGGTGCTGGTGATTGGCACTGGCTTATTACTTTACTGCTTTCCAATCTACAGTTTATACAGCACACTTTTGGCACACAAGAAGGAGCACATCCGCAAGTTTGCAGCAGAAAGCTTCTCTTTCTTGATGAGAAAGGTAACTTATTTGAATGTGAGCAGATGTAAAACATTGTGCTTGTTGTCTACACTTGTTGTAATAAACAGAATTCAAAATAAAGTTAAATTAACTGTGACCCCTTTACATTTTTTGCAGTAGTTTCAAATATTATGTTTCAATTGTTTTGTGTAATGAACCCATGTAAAAAAAAAATTTCTTTCATCGAATAGGTTCCAGATCTTGATGGCCTGCTGACTCATGTGTTCTCAGACCTGCAGCAGCACCCCGACAAGTCAGAGGGAGTGGGTCGGCTGCTCTTTGAGATGTGCAAAGGAGTCCGAAACATGTTCCACTCCTGTGCTGCAACTGTGAGTTTCTTATCCAAGAAGTGGGTTAAATTAAATGTGCACTGGATGATGATGCTCTAAAGAGTCTCTGCTTTTTAACACATGAATGATTTGATGTGATACAGCTATAATATGAAACTGCAGTTTTTAGTTCAGAAATGTAAAACCTTATGTGTACATTTCTTTGCACAAAGCTGTATAGTAGTAGACAGTAATTGTGAATAATCTTCATTTTTTTGTTTCTGTTTCTCTGCACCCATCTTTCCAGGTTTTGCCTATGGCTCTGCGAAAGCTCAGTCCCACAAACAGCCCAGGGCTCTCTTTGCCATGGGACTCTGTCAGGGGCGCACTGAATCACATGGCCCAGGCTGCAGCCAGTTATGTTCACAGAGAACACTTCCTGGTTTTTTGGGAGTCCATACAGGTTAGCATGAATGAACACAGTGATATTTCTGACTACTTTTAGTAACAAAATTAGGTGCAAAATAGTGGAATATTGTTGTCTTTTTATTCAGGTCCGTTTTTACATTGAGTCCCTTGGTTCTGATGGTGGTGTGTCCCTGTTTACAGGTCAGTGTGATGGAGGTCCTTGATGTCATGGAGGCAAAGGGAGAAGAGGCAGACCAAGTGGTAGAGCAGCTGGAGAGGCTACTATTCATTCTCCACACTCTGGTATCCCACGGGGATGGAGCCAAGGTCACTAAGCCAGAGGCTGTCTGCCAGGTAAGAAGAGAGCATTCACTTGAGGGATTTCATTTCATTTCATTACTTTACCTCTCAATGTTAGATCAGCTACCAGCCTGACTGCTTTTAAATCATTACTTAAAACATATTTATTTGCCTTGGCTTTTAATACTTAGTAGGGCCTGATGCTTTTTTTATTTTGACTGTATGCCATTTATATGTTTGTGTTGTTGTGCTGTTTTATTCTTGTATTGATTCTATTTTTATTTTAGTTATTTATTGTGATCTTATTCTGCCCATGTAAAGTACTTTGGTCAACTTGATGTTGTTTTTAAAATACTATATAAATAAATTTGATTAGATTTGGTATAAGAAATTTCACAGAATCTGTGTCTTTAGATTGTATGTTGTCATCATTTTATTTTGCTGCTCCTGCAGATGGTGTTGCGGTTGATTCAGAGCTCAACTCTGTCGACGTCCTGTTCCCATCTTCTCCTCCAGATCATCTCCTCTCTGCTTCTTGGTGAGAACATCACCCTGCCCAACGTACTCATCCAGGAGACAGTTCAAAAGGTGGCTGTGTGCTTGTGTTGAACAGAAAACAGCAAATAAGAATACATCTGTATATTTAAGAGTTTGTGTGAAGGGAAAAAAGTTTGATTTGTTTAATGTGACCAAAAATAAATGTGTTTATACATTTCTGACTCTGGCTGTTCATTATCAGGTGTTTGTCAGTACAATAGGGCAAGACCTGATACTTGAATTCACTAAGAAGATGTTCACCATGAAACAGTTTGAACAGGTGAGTTGTAACTAGAGTGATACAGCATATCCTGTATTTTCCTCTTGATTTGGGTCGCTCTGTGTCTTCTCTCGTGTGATGTGTTTTTTTTTTTTCTTTTTCTCAGTCAGCTCCCCAACACTAACTTTGCTTTTCCCTCTCCTTCAGCTCTTCCTCCCCAGCCTGCTACAATTCACTGCTGGGTTGTTCAGCTGTGGCAATGCCCTGTCTCGCCACTGTGGCCTGGATGTTCTAGTCAGTCTGATTCTCGCCAAAGCCCCACCCCCCACAGATGGCTCCATGGCCTTTGAAACCTACCCACTGCTGTTCACTGGCCAGACCACAGGGTGAGAAACTACAGATTATCTCAAATAACTGACCAGAAATATACCAAATCTTTGGTTGTTGGATTCATGCAGCTATTTAAAATTTCTTTTACGCTGCTGTGAAAAAGTATTTGCCCCCTTCCTAGTTTCTTTTTTTTTTTTTGCATAATTGTCACACTTAAATGTTTAATCAGAATCAGCTTTACTGGCTGGTGTGTTGGACACACGAGGAATTTGACTCTGGTACAGCGGCTCTCAATGCGTATGTACATGTCCTTATGTAAGGCAGCAATGTAATGTACAAACAAGGAATGTGCATTAGGAAAGAAAAAAGTACTTACGGACCTGTATATACACACAGTCTAGATGCATTTTATGGATCTATATGTACAAGGTACAGTGCCTTGCAAAAGTATTCCATACCCCTTGAATTTTTTCAGATTTTGTCACATTACAGCCACAAACTTAAATGATCCAAAGTCCACCTTTGAATGGCTTAAAAAAAACAAAATGAAGGTTTTGGAGTGGCCTAGTCAAAGTCCGGACTTTGAGATGCTGTGGCATGACCTTTAAAAAGGTGGTTCATGCTGGAAAACCCTCTTATGTGGCTGAATTAGAACAATTCTGCAAAGAAGAGCCAAAATTCCTCCACAGCAATGTGAAAGACTCATTGCCAGTTATCACAAATGCTTGATTGAGGTTGTTGCTGCTGAGGGTGGCACCAGTTATTAGATTTAGGGGGCAATTATTTTTTCACATAGGGCCATGTAGGTTTGGATAGCTTTTTCCTTCTTAATAAATGAAATCATCACTTAAAACTGCATTTTGTGTTTATGTGGGTTATCTTTGTCTAATATTTAAATTTGTTTGATCCAAAACATTTAAGTGTGACAAATATGCAAAAAAATAAGAAACCAGGAAGGGGGCAAATACTTTTTCACAGCACTGTTTATATTTAAATTTGAATATTTTCAATGGGTTTTTCTCCCCCAACAGTGTGTTTAGCAGTAAGGAGGCAGGTCAGGTGAGCAGTACAACATCAGAGCAGCCAGCAGTACCAGAGCTGGTGTTGTCACTGATCACATTTCCTGAGAAGCAGAACCAGCCCATCACTGACCTGTCCCTGCCTTGGGCTGCCCTGATACTGCTGCCACACCTCAGGTAACACACATAAATTTTTCCACCATTACACTTCCTAGGAGCTCCCACTATAATGTTTGTTTATGAAAGGTGTATTTCACACAAGAACAGTGAGTGTGATCTGTTTTCTGTGAAAGTGAAGAAATATCAGGGAATTTTATAAATGGAGCTGAATTTATTCTCCTGAACATGTGGCGTGGTGTGAAGAAATGACCATCGTTGCTACTGTTTGTATTTACTTACTCCTAATGTATTTGCTGTTTTTTTGTTTGTTTGTTATTGTTGCTGTTCATCAGACCTCTGGCTCCAGCTAGTGTTGCTCCTGCTGTGACTTCTTTTTTAAATCACCTGCTGTGTGAAGTCGAGAGTGGGAAACTGGGGAAAGGTTTGTGATTTCTTGTTTTCCTTCATGTCCACAGTGTATGGAAAGTGTCATAGATATAAACAACAAAATGTTCAAATGGTTGCAATGTAATAATTATTTGACTAATTTGTCAATGTGCAAAATCATGAAATAAATTAATCAGTCATTCTATTTTGATGCAAAATAATTTGTCACTTTGAATAACAGTAACAGATGTTTTCTGGTTGCAGCTTGTATAACACAAAGATAAGATTTTTTTAAATAGCATTTTAGTGTAAATTAAATCTCTATGGGAATTTGAAATGATTGTCAGACAAAATATAAAATGGTACAGAACCAGAGAACTGGCTGAACCTCTACATTTTTATCCTAGACAGAGGTAAAAACACTGTTTCTGTAACGCCTATACTTAATATAGTTTAAAGAGCCCATGGCATGCTCTTTACCAAACATTTAATTATTAATCTGGCTTTGCACCCATCATAACTCCAATAGTCTGTAATTATTTCAGAATGATAAAACCAAAGAGCTTCTTCCTAAAGACGAGAGGTTAGTTCATGAACATGCACACCTCCTGCTGACGGTGTTGCCTTGAAAGTGAACAGCTCAGTGAACCACAACGGAAATTCTCCTCCTTACATAGGTAAACAGTGGTATATGTACCAATGAAAAGAAATTTGTAACACTCTGAACAAGGCCTGTAATTGAGAGACCCCATATTTTAATGGGCATAATGCAGACATAGTAACTTATCCAGCCTTACAACAATTCTCTCTTTAGAAACAACACATTAACAGGAATGCAATTGGTGGGACTTACCGTTAAGTTTCTGGCTGCTCCATTCACGCCACTTTAGACCCCGCGAGTCCTCTGTACCCGAACATTCCCAGCCCTGTTTTTTTTCCTCCACATCCTCTGGTCACAATACAGGCAGCAGGAGGTAAAATAACAGTCCTTTTCAAGTTCGGCCACAAATTCTCTATTGGATTGAGGTCTGCGCTTTGACTCAGCCATTCCAGGACACTCACCTTGTTGTCTTTAAACCATTTCTGTGTGGGTTTCACTGTATGCTTCAGGTCATTGACTTGCTGGAAAATAAATCTTCTTTCAAGCCATAGTTCTCTTGCAGTCTGAATAAGATTGTCCTCCAGGATTTTCCTGTATTTTGCTGCATTCATTTTACCTTCTACCTTTACAAGCCTTCCAGGGCTATGCAATCACTTATTTCCCATTATATATTTTTATTTAAATGACATTACTTTGTAGAAACCTGTTTTCACTTTGACATTAAAGAGGTTTTTTGTAATTTATTTTGTAAAAAAGCCAAATTATATTGACCATGATAGTTATGTATAAACCAAAAGTGTATTTAATTCTGTCACTATATCTATGTAGGAATTATTTACTCCAGTGCAGTATAGACATGAATGAAATTTAAATCCCCCAGTAGGACCCCATTAAATCTGTTTATATTTTGAGTTTATCCTAACAAGTGTGAAAATAGAATGACGCTTTTTCAATAGTACATTACGTTTTGCTTTAATGACTTCTGACTGACTGAAGCTTTTTCTCCCATCCACTGTGCTTCAGCTGGGCTGTTTGTAGCCAGGCAGACCCTGAGCTGCCTTCTAAGTCTGGACAGCTCTGCAGAGCTCCTGTCACTGGTAACTGTGGACAAGATCATATCACTACTAAGGTGTGTAATGCATAGCTTCCATGTCTCTCTTGGTCTTTTTTAGGTATTATAAGCCCATTATAAAATGTGTTTTTGTTACTGAATATCAGAATATCAAGAGTACAAGTCTTCTCTCTGCTTCATTCAAACACTATAAAAAATGTTTTAAACTTTCACTGAAGCATTTAAAGCTATGATAATTTTGTTTGTGATTCTTACAGGAAGTTTCCCACAGACCTGTCAGCTTTGCTGCTGGGCGACCTCTACTATACCCGCCTGTCACTCTGTGGTGTTTCAAAGCATCTGTCCCACAGTGCACTGCTTGAGGTCTATGAGATTCTGCATTCCAACCTCTCCTCCAATATTTCGAAGGTAGGTCTCCAATTATAGTCAAAGGTTGCCTAAATGCATAGTTAGCTTGCAGACAGGAATGACAATGCTGTCTCCTAATGTGAAGATTTCTTATATGAAATGGTTACATTTTTGCCACCAGTTAGACTAATTATTTGGTTTGCTCTCAGATCCGCCTCCTGACCCTGAGGATTCTCTCTCAGTTTGAGGCAGAGGTCTCTCCACAGACTAAGGTATGGCTGTTAGTCCAGAATCTCATTAAAGAGCCCATGGCATGCTGTTCCTTGTTTTTTGACTTTTCTACAATGTTACAATGGTGAATTATCATCTTGGACATTACCTAAAGCTAAAAAAATGGGGTATACATATGTTCTAGTACTTCTTTGCAGAAGCTACTCGGTTTATACAAGTCTCTCAAACTCTCACTTGTGAGACTCTTTGGATTTCCTTGAATGGTCATAATCTCCAGGCATTGGTGCGTTCATGTGAGCTTGCCTGACATCCACCAGTGCCATTGTAAAAGCGGAATGTTTCGACTGCCTGCGGTTTTGTGGATATATTTTACTTCCTGCTGCCTGCACTGTGACCAGAGGATGTGAAGAAAAATACAGTTTAACAGTTTAAGAACAACATTTCTCAGTGTACATTTGTAAGGAATTTATGTATTTCATCATCTACAGTTCATAATATCATCAAAAGATTCAGAGAATCTGGAGGAGTCTCTGCACTTAAGCGGCAAGGCCGTAAACCAACACAGAATGCCCGAGAGCTTCTGTCCCTCAGGCGCGGCACTGCATTAACAACAGACATTGTTCTGTATAGGATATTAACACATGGGCTCAGGGACACTTCGGAAAACCATTGTCAGTTAACACAGTTCATCGCAACATCTACAAGTGCAAGTTAAAACTCTACCATGCAAAGTGAAAGCCACACATCAACAACACCCAGAAATGTGGCCATCTTCTCTGGGCCAGAGCTTATCTGAGATGGGCTGATGCAAAGTGGCAAAGTGCGCTGTGGTCTGACAAGTCCACAATTCAAATTGTTCTTGGAAATCATGGACGGTGTGTCCTCTGGGCTAAAGAGGAAAAGGACCATCCAGATTGTTATCAGCGCAAAGTTCAAAAGCCAGCATCTGTGATAGTATGGGGGTGTGCTTTAAGTTACCCATGGCATGGGTAACTTGTACATCTCTGTAGGCACCATTAATGCTGAAAAGTACATACAAGTTTTGGAGCAAAATATGTTGCCATCCAAGTGATGGCTCTTTCAGGGACATCCCTGCTTATTTCAGCAAGACAATGCCAAGCCAAATTCTACATGTGTTACAACAGCGTGGCTTCGTAGTAAAAGAGTGCAGGTACTAGACTGGCCTGCCTGCAGTCCAGACCTGTCTCCCATTGAAAATGTGAGGCGCATTATGAAGCACAAATTACGACAATGCAGACCCCAGACTGCTGAACGACTGAAGTCGTACATCAAGCAAGAACGAGAAAGAATTCCACCTACAAAGCTTCAACAATTAGTGTCCTCAGTTCCCAAATGCTTATCAAGTGTTGGTAAAAGGAAAGGTGATGTAACACATATCCCTGTCTCAGCTCTTTTAGGACATGTTGCAGGCATCAAACTCAAAATGAGTGAATATTTGCAAAAAACAATAAAGTTTAAAAGTTTGAAAATTAAATATCTTGTCTTTGTGGTGTATTCAATTAAATATGGGTCAAAAAGGATTTGCAAGTCAATGTATTCTGTTCTTATTTATGTTTTACTCGGTGTCCCAACTTCATTGGAATTGGGGTTTGTACTTTGAAAGGGAGTCATGTTTCCACTACTTGGTGGGATTTAACAGTAAGTTTAAAAAAAAAAAAAAAAAAAAAAACATACGTTGCATGCCTGTTAATGCGTTGTTTCTGTAACTTTAGAGAACATTGTTGTAAGGCTGGAGAGGTTACTATGTATGCATTATGCCAGTTAAAATAAGGGGTTTCTCGACTACCCTCTCTGTTTAAAGTGTTACAAATCTCTTTTCATCAGTACATATACCATTGCTTACCTGTGGAGGAGAAATTCAGATTAATTGATGCTGTTGCTGTTTGTTGTGCTGTTCACTTTTGACAGTGCAGCAGAAGTTGCACGTTCACGAACTATCCTCTCATTTTTAGGAAGCGGCTCTCTGGTTTTATCATTCTGAAATAATGACAGACTATGTGGAGTTATGATAGGTGCAAAACTAATCTAGAGGCACCCAAGATTCAACATTAAATGGCTAGAAATGAGCATGCCATGGGCTCTTTAAACTATTATTTAGTATAGGAGTTACAGAAACAATAAGCTCATGCATTTATATGTAAATGTCTTTACCTCTGTCTAGGATGAGAACGTGGAGGTTCAGCCAGTTCTCTGGTTCTGTAATGTTTTGTATTTTGGACTAATTTTGTCAGACAATTTCAAATTCCCACAGAGATTTAATTTACAATAAAATGCTATTTAAAAAAAAAAAAAGCTGATCTTTGTGTTATATAAGCTGCAACCAGAAAACATCTGTTACTGTTATTCAAAAAGTGTCAAATTATTATGCATCAAAATGGAATGACTGATTAATTTATTTCATAAAGTATAGGAGTTGCAGAAACAATAAGCTTATGCTTATATGAGTGTCTTTACCTTTGTCTAGGATGAGAATGTGGAGGTTCAGCCAGTGTTTGCAGTGTGCCTGCAGGCTGAGCTGGTGCCGGCTTCTGTTCAGGACTACAGAGACAAGCTGCTTCACCTCCGTAAGCTGAGACATGATCTTGTGCAGCGCAGCCTGCCGCGGGGGCTGTCTGACACTTTCCAGCAGGTAGAGATAATTAGTATTGCTAGTATAATTAGATTGCTTATCCCATTCCTTTAACATGCACTTGCAGAGAAAACTGTCTTAATAACGGTAGATTTATAAAGTACACCTATAGATACAGTACTGGTCCAAAAGATTATATGCATTTTCCCATTGAAAGTATAACAGGAGTTGCTTTAGCAGCATACCATAGTAAAGACATCCTGTTTTCACTTCTTTCTTCTCAGGTGCCTCTGCGTTATCTCATTGCAATGCTGTTTGTCAACTTCAGGCCACTGTGGGATGCGGTCATCGAACTTCTTTTGTGAGTATAAATAATATCACTAACCAGTACTCACTGAGCTGAAATCAACATGCTTATGATGTTTTGATTTAATGAGTCTTTTACTTTGTCGTTCATGTATCCCATCATAGATTGTTGTTGTTTTACTGTACCTTTGAACACACTCGTTATAAATGAGGGATGCAAACAATGCTAGCAGCCCTCGCTGCTTAAAATACAGAACATTTCTAATTTGCCAAAATAAATATAGACAAATATTTAAAATGTTGAAGTGCCCATTGAATAGAAATTAGTCTCTTTTTGTCTCACAGGAGCCATGCCAGAGGGATGGACAACAGGGACTTCTGGAAGGTCTACTATGAACATCTGGAGATGGTGGCAAGTTTAGCTGGTAAGACTGCATGCTGGACTGCAGGATTCTGGTGCATCATAATTTAATTTGTTGCATGTAAAATTGTTTGTTCAGTTTTACATGTTAGCGTAGACATACAGAACTCAGCTAAAACATTAACATACTGGTGTTTCTTTTGTATGTATTTGGAAGGAAATATATTTTAAAGAATGTATGCAAATGAAATGTGGTTAAATTAGATTTTCTTCTCTATGTGTCAAAGAAAACAAACTGCGGCAGGATATCAAATATGATGTTGATAACAAAGAGGAAGAGTACAGTCTTCAGGGTCAGCCTGGCTGTGATGTCATTGAAAGTGGGGATGTTGGCGTGCTGTTCCTAGAGCAGCTGAAGTTGACCTCTGACCCCATTGAGAGGACAGACTTCCTCAACTTCCGCAGCCTGCTGTGGCGCACTATGGCTCAGTTCCCTGACAGGGTGGAACCACGGAGCCGGGAACTGAGCCCTCTGCTTCTCCGGTTTATCAGGTCCGTGTTTAAGAACAGCAGGCCTATTGATTTAAGATGATTTTTTTTTTTGTTTGATTGAATATTTAATAATAAAATTAAATAGAACTGGTAGATTAGTGTTATGAGAATGCAAGTATCAGGTCTTGATGGTTTTCCTGTTGGCAGGAGTGAGTTTTACCCTGCAGACCTGCTGGTGGCTCCCACTCAGGACCTAAGGAAGCGGAGCAATGCTCCCCTAGAGGAGTCTAGTATGGCTGTGGAAGAAGAGAGAGAGGAAGATGAGCAGGAGGCAGAGGAGGAAAGCAGACAGCAGAGGAAGACACTTCCAAGAAGAGCTGCTGCCAAGTAACAATCAGAATCATACTAAATACTTGGGATGTCCCGATCCAGTGTTTTTGGCCAATACCGATTGAATTCCTTTTAATATTAAGAATCTACCAATACCGATTCCGATATGATACTTTTATTTACCTACAGTAAATGTTCATTAAATACCTGACATATTGAAATGAATCTGCCATATATTTTTTCAGCAGCTTCTTGATCCAGGTTCAGGTTGCTAAAGCTAGCTGACATGCTACAATCTGGGGGATATTCAAGAAGGCAGGTTAAGTTTGTTCAAGGTGAAATGAGGGAAACTAGCTTTTCACTTCCAGAAATGGAGGTCTACTCCAGGGCTTCTTTACCTTTTGTAACTCAAGGCCCACTTTTGATTGTAAAAAAAATTTCAGAGGACCAGCTTCCCAAATAAATGAGAAAAAAAAACATAAAATAGATTAACTATGTGGTTAGTCTGTCCAGGTAATACCAATTTAGAATTTGTCCTGATGTTTTTGGAAATGTGAGTGCTAGTTATCAGACCAAGCTACTGTAGCTCTGTTGACAAGCAGCTACTTCTCGTTCAGAACACAGTTGGTGAGAACGCTTGTGTTCTAGCTGCACATTATAGCTGCGTTTCCACCGTTGGAACCTAATGAGTGGTACATCCCATGCTTCTTACCGTTCTTGTGTCAAAAAGTGTTCCCCTGTCGAGATTGTGTTGCTCCAGTTAAAACTGTGTTTCTACTAGCAGCCCCCTTGGTAGTTAGAGTTAGGCTAAGGTTAGGGTTCAGGTCAGGGGAAACGCATCTCGACAGGGAAACGGATCTCGACACAACACCGTCACCCAGTATAACCTCAGTCGGTGTCAGTTTAGAGGAGACATATTTTCATAGTAAGGCAGAAGGAGAGCAACAGTCAGCAAGTAATGGACACTGTACGAGTAGTTTATCAAATGGGTATTGAACAAGCAGAACACAAGTTTGCAGAAAGGTGATGACTTCACCTCTTTGTCAACGGGCCACTCACTGAAGTCCCCATTTTACCCCTAAACCAACGTGTGGATGCCTGTCATGTCTGTCATTTTTCTTGAATAACTTTCAAACTAATAATGATCAGCATCATTCAAAATGCCAACAGTATGTTTTCATGGTCAAGCAATCATATTATGAGGTCAAACTATCATAGGAATATTGCTTTTATGGCATTATGGGGAAACTGATTTGTCCCTTGGTGGAGGTGTGCTCTCTGAGTACTGTCTAGTTTTTCATTGTATTTGTGTTTTCCCTCCCAGACAGCTAATCGCTCATCTGAAGGTATTTGCTAAATTCACCAATCCTCGTGCTCTCTACCTGGAGGGTAGCCTCAGTGAGCTGTATAACCAGGTGTGTGTATTAGCCCTCAGTAAGGCAGTTGTGGGGTGAATAGTAAGATGTGTAAAAATATTTTGAAATTTTTAAGTAATGCTAGAAGCAAATGGAGACGCAATGGACCTTGTCTCTTGTCTGTTATTGCATCAAGTTTGAGTACTTGCTATGACATCAGACTAGCATGACATGCTTTATCTGTTTGTCTATTTTCAGTTGCTCTGCCATCAGGACCAGCAGATTCAGCGAGTGGCTCTGGAATGTGTTCTCACATACAAAGACCTCAACATAGTACCATACAAGTAAGAAAACAAGTATACAGTAATGATATCTCTCTTGCCGCACTGTCTCTCTTCCTCACTGGGATCATTGTGAGCTTCTTTGACAAGTGAGTTCGTGTTATCCACTATCTATGTTTACAGACAGAGGAATGTTTCCTTCAGTGGTCACTCTGCCTGATACATGTGCCTTCTGCTGTTTATTATCAAATTATCCATTTACCATTATCCATTATCCAGCCTGTCTGCACATAGATGTGTAGTTCCAGGGAGGTTTTGCATTACAGATGGTAATGTGTGTGGCTCTTCAGGCTGTCACACTGACATGGTTTAAGTACAGTGACATACTACTAGCTCTGTGATTCAGACTTGTTTCTTTAACCTGGCATTTCAGATTCACTTGATGTTGGTCATTTACTGCTTATTAAAATACATACAGAATCATGAGGTTAAATTATCAGCAACTGGGAGTTTTCTTTCATTTAAATTTAGGTGTCTGCTAAAGAATCTTTGTACAAGCTACTCTTTGCCCTTGTGTCTCTGACCTTTTGTGTGTGTGTGTCTGTATTTTGGTTCAGAGAGAATCTTGAGAGGCTTCTGGATGACAAATGCTTCAAAGAGGAGATTGTCCATTTCAATATTTCTGAGGAGACAGGAGTGGTCGATGCTTCACACAGAGCCAGACTCATCCCACTTCTCATGAGGTAACTGCTACTGTTTGTGCTGCATGTGGCCGTGCACAGTATGTTTTCTTTTTAGTATTTTCATTGCCATCTTGAATTAATAATTTGAGATTTTGGGAAATGTGTTTATTTACTTTCTTGCAGAGAATTAGATGAGAAGTTTTAATATCACTCTCAATCTTGTATGCTAATGTTAAACATGAAACTAGCAGCTGGTTAGCCTAGCCTATCATAAAGACTGGAAATGGAAAATGGCTATTTTGTCAAAGTTTTTAAAAATCACCCCCCAGTGCCTCTAAAATGTATTTATCTGTTTAGCTTTGGGCAAAACAAGGCTAGCTGTTTCCTTTTTTTTTTTTTACCAAGCTAAGTTAATAAACCGCTGGCTGTAGTTGATAGGCATACAGAAACAAGAGTTTTCAATCTTCTTCAGTGGTTTTCCTATTATAATTAGTGATGTGATGTTCCGTATCAAGGCTTCGAAGCGTGTGCCGAGTAGGGGAGGGGGCGTTTCCGCGATGCGCGTATCGAGGCTTGCGTCATTTAGGTGAGGAGCTGAAAATGATGACGTCCGAAGCCTCGCTGCCCGGCTGTACCACGTGACTGATTCAGGAAGTGGTTCGGATTGTCAAAAAAAAATCACCTAAGACCTGCCACAGTGGAGAAACTGTTGTTTTTAAATAAAAACCAATGATGTGTCCCCTAAACCATAATCACTGGCCATACCTCAACGTTACATATATATATATATATAGAGATATACACAGTATACTGCCATCACTACAATATATGTGTTTTGCATACTTCTTTATTTTGCTGACAATTTTATTCACAGGCTTTCTGCAAATGCCACACAAATTCAAATTCATGCCAACTGATATTGTTGCATCCAGTAGATGTTCTACTAGAGCAAATGAAGCTTCAAGAAGCTTTGCGCTGGAGTGAACCAATTGGATGAAAGGCTTCATTGCTTCATGAAGCTTCATCTGCCCATCACTAATTATAATACAGATGAGACACCCCCCACCGTGAATACATGATAGATGAATTTTTAATATAATACCGTCTGCCTACCTGGATACACTTCCTCCCTCCTCACCTGACACTCTCTGAGCTCTGTCTTCCATCCCTAATCCATGTTCCTTTTATAGAGGTGACCAAACACTTTGTGGATTAATATAGGCTAGTTACTTTTCAGTGACAGTTATAATGTGTGACTTGTTTTTTTTTTGTTGCTGCTGTTGTTGTTGTTTTTGCAAAGTCTCAACAGTTCACTGGTCGGTGCTTTACTCAACAACATAACCACAGCCTAACTGAAAGCGAGATGTGACATTTAACGTTCACCATCAAAGCAGCTGTCAGTCATCAGATCCTGATGAGCTGCAAGGACAACAGATGAACAAATGGTCTTCACCAGACCAATCAACAGCAGAAATGTACTGAACAACAGTTTTCATGTAGACCTTATGCACGTAATCATAACAGACAGCAGTAAAATAATTTGAAACAGAAAACAGGGACTTGGGTGATTTAAACAGCAGTGCGTGGCGATTATGCTGTGCACAATGTGCCAGAGATTGTAGACCTAAAGCAAAAAAATGGGCGATGCGCAGCTCACACCGCAAGGGTGTTGGGGAGACACTTCATAGAATTGACTTCTATTTGTTGCATGAAAAGCGTGTATTAAAACACACTCTGGCTGAATTGGCCTTAACTACCTGTGTATGTGACTTGACCTGTTGTTTTATGGGCTTCCTGGGCAAGTCAATTTTCAGTTCAGTTTTATTTGTATAGCACCATATCAAAACAAAAGTCATCTCAGGACACTTTACAAACTAAGGTCTATACCTTACTATTATTATTACAGAGGAAAAACCCAACAAATTCCTCTTGTGCAAGGACTTGGTGACAGTGGGGAGGAAGAACTCTCTTTAACGGAAGAAACCTTTGACAGACCCTAGCTCTTGGTGGGCGGCCTTCTGCCTCAACTTGATGGCGTGAGTGGATAGAGGAGAGAGAAAGAAAAGCAAGAAGACACAACAATAAACAAACAAGCACTGGGCAGGTTGATGTGGCCAGTGACTGCTCTTCAGAAACGTACAACTCCAGAGCCAGGGATACCTGCAGAAAGGAAGAAATAGAAGACACACTACGGGAGAGAGGAGAAACACAGTTAGTGACTCATAATGGTGGCATATAGATGCATGGAAAGAAGGAGAGGACAGGAATGGAGCTTAGAGCATCATAGTGGGACCCCTAGCAATCTTTGCCTAGAGCAGCATAACTAAGCAAAAGCTTCGTTTCACCTGAGCCAGCCCTAATTATAAGCTTGAGAGGCTCTGCCTCCCATTCTACTTTTGTAAATTCTAGAAACAACAAATAGATCTGCACTCTGAATTCGAAGTGCTCTGTTGGAATGAAAAGGCACTATGAGGTCTTTTAAGATTTGATGAAGCCTTGTCATTAAAGGCTTTGTATGTTAGGAGAAAGATTTTAAATTCTATTCTGGATTTTACAGGGAGCCAGCAGAGAGAAGCTAATATGGAAGAGATGTGATCTCTGTGTGAGTACTCTGGCTGCAGCCTTTTAGATTAACTGGAGGGTTTTTATGCTGCAGCAGGAGTACTGACTGGGAACTAGCAAGAGAGATCATATTTCTCCTATATTAGCTTCTGGTGGTGACTGTAGCTTCATGTTTCTGGCTATGGAGTCACCAATCACCATATTTGGTTTCTAAGCAGGTGTGTTACTGAGTGGGGACAAACGACTTGAAACATTAACATGCAGGTGCTAAATGCCCAAAACAAATGCCCCTACCATGGGCATTTGTTTTGAGCTATGACTCTTGCAAATTGTCACCCAGCCAACTGGCTGAGATCCCGGCTGCTCATGAAATGCTGGGGGACAGCTAGCTTGGGCTGACCTAACATTACTTCTAGGAGGGCCTGCACCTGCTACATGGGCCTGCATAGTTGGGGCATTTTCCATGGTGCAGAGCCACTCTTACAATTCTGTGAGCTTCACCTCCAATGCTGCTGTCATCTGACATTTATTACGGATACTATTAGGAGGCAGAGGAATAACTTAACATGCGACACTCTGAGCAAGAGAAGGAAGGAGAGGAAGAGGGAGAAGCTATTGTGCTCAACTAAGCTACTAGTTTAGCTAGCTTCTAGGCTAGCTAATCTAATGTAGCAAGTTAAAGTTAATAATTAGCAACAAATTCTGTAACACAGGCAAATGTGAGTCAAAAATGAGCTGTTTGGCTAAACGACTGTGGTTCAGTGGGTAGAGCAGTCATCTCCCAACCAGAGGGTCAGAGGTTCGAATCTCAGTGCCTGCAGTCCACGTGTCAAAGTGTCCTTGGGCAAGACACTGAACCCCCAAGTTGCCCCTGATGGTTAGAGCCATTGGTTGAGTTGGCGCCACAGATGGCTGCCTCAGTTCTGTACCGGAAACACATTACTTGTGTGTAACATACTTGGCCAAATAAAGATGATTATTATTATTATTATTATTTTTAAATCAAGCATTAATACTTTGTTTTACACACTCTTTGTCATACAAAACACACTCTTGGCAGTATTGGAAGTGCGAATTATGACCTGGTTCTGTAGTACGTAAAACCCAAACAAGATGTTTTTGCCGTGGCAAAAAAAAAAAATGTAGTTCAGCGTTAGCTGAAATATTTCTGTTTACTGTTTCATGATACAGGATCCTGTTTGGGCGTCTGTGCAGTAAAGCAGGTAGTAAGTTCCAGGGGAAGGCCAGCGCTGCATCCCGGTCCTCCATCATTCTGCGTTTCCTGGCAGGTTGTCAGGCTGAGGAGCTGGGGATGTTCATTGACCTGCTGCTAGAGCCCGTCTCGCATCACAGCCAAGGTAGGAAACTAGAATGGGGGAAAAAAAATGAAGTACAAAGTGATTTAGTTTTACACTATGCACTACAGTAGAAAATAGGAAAACTAACCGGTCTTCAACTGGTGCTCCCTTGATACCTGAGGGTAAAAATTGAAAGCTTCTCAGCCTTTGCCTCTGTCTGTGTCCTAAGGCTCCACTCTGGCAGCAGTGGAGAGGGCAGTGGCTGAAACAGATGTGGGTGCCATCCTGCCGCTGGCCCGTCAGCACAGTCTGCTGAATATTATAAATGTGGTGATCCAGAAACTGGGCCACCTCATCTTCATCTACCTGCCCAAAGTGCTGCAGATCCTGCTTTGTGTCACTGCCTCTGTGTCCACTGTCCTGGACAACAGGCACCAGGTAACCAGGCTAAGGACTGATAGTTTCTTTAATATTTGTTTATTAAACAGGTTTCTAATGATCAGATTCCTTCTTTCTTTCCTATACATTATAAATAACAATTAGCAAGATAGCCTGAGAGTATCTCAGAAATGCCAAATTGAATTGGTTGATGCTGCTCAGATACAGCTGCTTGTATTACTGCGTTATTTAAAATATTCTTACCTTAAAAAAATACCACTAATGTACAGTGTATGTGTTGACTTTGTAGTCAAAATGTGCCATTGTGAGCTTAAGGGCCAAGCCGACATTGGCTTTTGGCAAACATTGGGTTGTCAGTAAACCAGTGACGTGCGGTCAGGGGAGGCAGGTGAGGCAGAGCCTCCCCTGTCAATCTTGAAAAGAAAAAAAAGTTAACCATAAAATATAATAAATGTTAATATTTGTCAGCTGGTGTGTGTTGTAGGCCCTTTTGTCGTTCGAATCCGATGTTGAAGGAATTTTTTTCAATAAAGAATAGCAGAATTTCCGTATGTCCTGTTCAAATACATGGAGGAGATGCGCGATGAGGCAGAACTTTGCTGTGCCTCTCGGTGGATCGTGTAATCCTCACAAACTGCATGCGATGCAAATAGTGTGTCGCTGTCCCTCTATATATTGCAAATAAAATGCTTTCAAACACTCTGATTATATGCTCTGCCTTGCCATAATCTGGATAATGTATAAAATGTAGTCCTGTAACGTGTTTAGGCTGCAGATTAACCATAAAACCCAGTAAAAAAAGTTACTCGGTGAGGCAAACAGTACGCCTGCCTCAAGGCAGAGGGCGCTAGTAGCCCACAGATTCTTGCGCTACCTACAATCTTCTTCGTGCTTGTTTATATTTCCTTTACAATCCTATCAAAATGGAAGATTAAGATCTTCTTTAATGAAAACATTTGTTTTAATATTGGATTCGAACGGTAAAAGGGTTTGTAATACATACCAGCCGACAAATGAATTTCGTGTACAAGTAAAGGTAAGACCATAAACTTTTATTATTTTTAGTTAGAAATAAGCTCAACTGGAATAAATTTTAACTTCAAATTAAATATGGGTCATGTTTGTGATATGAGATATAAAACATAACGCATTGTCTGTTAACAGACAATTTGTTAACGGTTCATTTGTATTTGTAAATCGGACTGTAAAAGAGTTAGTGCCTCACCAGCTGTCAACCTTACCGCATGTCACTGCAGTAAACGTCTATCAGGCTCGTCTTCCCGGTGTGTCCTGCATTGTTGTAACTAGTCGGACCCTGTTGTGGGCTCTTTTGCCTTAGTGAATCAAATACTGTGCCTTTTATGTCACTTTAAAATTAGAAAACGCAAGCATGTAAGTGCTGCACATGCAGAATGACTGCACAGTTAACCCAAGCATCAGAGAAGCAAGCTGCCTCCTAGATAGAGCAAAACAGTTCTCACCTACATTACGTCATATTTATAACTCTATAATATGACCAGTCTGTCATTTCAGATAATTGTAATACTCACATTGTCATCTTTACGTTGTGTCTTTATATAAGAAAATTCATTGCATTTTAGCATTGCATACCTGCCTGTTTCTCAGTGCCTCTTTTTGCCTGCAGCTGTGGGCAGGTTGCATCAGTCCTCTGAAGAACCTGCGGCGACTCGGCATCCTGAGGACCCTGGACTTTTTTGACCGCTTTGACTGCTACAGCTTCAGTTCAGATGAGCTGGATGCGGTTTTTCAGGCTGTGGTCTGGCCTCAGGTACATGTTGCAAATAACCTTTTTGTTTTTAATTTTATTGAGCTTCTATTTTCTGTCCAGACCATTCTTGTTTACCTAGAGGTCCCTTTTTTCCTTCAGGTGTGTCGTCTCCCCACAGAGAGCCCCTATTCCCCGACCCCTCTACTAAAGCTCATCCATGTGTGGTGCAAAAATGCCAGGTCAGAGTCAGTCACTTCTCTGTTTGCCTTATCACGACATTGCTCAACTATGTACTGGAGCAAATTTACCAGTTAATAGTTGTCTTCATCCAGAGAGAATAAAAGGAATTCCAAATATATCTGTCTGTCTCAGATACTTCCCCCTCTTGGCCAAGCAGAGACCAAACCACCCAGAGTCTGATGTCCTTCTGAATGTCTTTGCCCTCCTCTCTGCTAAGAACACATCCCCAGTGACCATTGCCATGGTAATGGACATAGCTGAGTCCCTAGCAACCACAGAGGACTTTGTTGCCTCAGAGACTGAGACAGAGCTGAGTGCCACCAGTTGTGTGTTCCCGCAGCCTGAAGAGGATGCTCTCATCAATGCAATAGCATTTTATGCCTGCTGTATATTGCTTCTAAATTTACTGTCAAGATTAATGTTGGTGCTGGACAAAGGTAAATGTGAACATTGTTCTATATTTTCTAGACACATTGACTCAGGGCTCCAGACTGCTTCTGCCTCACATCTCCACCCTGCTGCAGTACTTCACCAGAGTCATACGTAACACTGACAGATTCAGGAAGAAGAAATTCAGGGCACAGGTGGCCAAAGAGCTCAACATCCTTTCTAAGTTAGTACAGCATAGTCTTTTTTTCCGCTGCATCCAAGGTACTTTTTCTTTTCAAGCTAACTTTTTTGTGTTTCATTAAACTATTTTTGATGTCACTTTCTCTCTGCCAGGGTTAGTCAATTTGTGAGTGACAAAGAGCAGAGCTCGGTGTTCATCAGCTTGTTGCTACCCTACCTCCAGAAAGGCAACAATCCTCAAGTAAGACTTACAAATTAATATTTTTATATCTATAAAATGATTGTGTTCAAATAAATATTTTATGAAAATTTGTATTTTGCCTTGAACTGAGCCTTCAAAGCTACAGCTACAACTGTCTCAAATAAAAAAAGCAAAAAAAAAGCAATGAAGGTTAGGGGTCAGGGCTTTTTGTCCTACGATTCTGGTGGAGGTGGTAAGATTTTTAGACATTTTTTGGTGGTTCAACTCAGGGAAAATGTGTTTCTTGGGCAGTGTTAGAGGCACTTGTAATAGATGGTGCGTTTTCATGAAACCATTTAATGACCTCACTTTGCCTTTGTTTTAGGAGACAGAAATTGACATCTTGGCCACTGTGCAGAACCTGCTGCGACAGTGTGTGCAGCCTTCCGCCTTCCTGCGCCCACTCAGCAAACTCTTCTCCATCATCCATAACAAGATGTCCAGACAGGCCCTCACCAATGTCTTCCAGGTACAACAGAAAACCTAAAAACTATTTTGTTTACATGCTCTCAGTAATTAAAATGTAACCTAAAAAATTAATCTTCCTTACTCTTAATTTGCTTGTGCTGCATGGCTTTCAGACTCTGTTAGATCTGGAGCCTTCACTCAGTTACATCACTGACCTAGCAGCAAAGGTAAGATAATTTATTACATTCACATGACATAGTATTATTTACACATGTATCAGGGACAGCAGAGATGTTTTCTAACCATATTAATCCAACTCATGTAGAAGTCTACAGTAGTTTCTAGGGTCAAGTCAATGGGAAAGCGTGTCCAAACTTTTGGCTGGTAGTGTACCTTCTTCACAAAGCACAGCAACAATAATCAGTGTTTCCTGCTTGCTCTATCCAGCTTAATGCATTTGATAGTCGACACTTGGATGAGGTCTACTTTGACATGCGTCTGACAGCTTTCCAAGAAGCTACAAGGCGAGTCAGAGATATGCAGATTCTGGACCTGGACTACATCAGCATCCTTATACACAACTGTTTCCATACCTATGAGGTCAGTAGAGATAGGATGCAGGTATCCTGTCTAAACTAACAGCTATAGCACATCAAGATTTTCATTCTCTGTCCCCCTTTGATGCAGATTGGTGATATGTCACTGGCAGACAATGCCACCTTGTGTGTGTCTGCAGTGATAACTCAGGTGGCAGCAGTTGGAGCTGGAGAACAAGTTTACAAGGACATTATACAACACACAATCCTGGACGCTGTACACAAGGGGCTCCGCAGCAAGACAGAGGTACAAACACACACACTTTGTCAAATCTCTAAACATACTAGCTATTTAATATATGACACTTGTTTAGTGTGAAGTTTTTTTAATGGGGTCCTCCACTTTCTCATCTTACCAGAGAGTGCAGCATGAATACACCACTGTACTGGCCTGCCTGGTGAAGACCTTTCCCTCCAAGAAAGAGTTCAGAGACCTGGTACAGCTCACTGACTGTAATGATCCTGATTCGGACTTCTTTGAGCACATGAAACACATCCAGGTAAGAAAGAAACCATGGAAACTCTCACTTCTGTCTCCCCTTCTACACACATTAAACCACAAACACTTAAATGCATGTGTCCCTGTGTTGTTGTTGTTTTTTTGTTTTTTTGTGTGTGTGTGTTGTTTAGATCCATCGGCGGGGTCGGGCCCTGAGGAAGTTGGCCAAGCAGCTGACCCAGGGCACCGTGGTGATGACATCCCGTTCTCTCCAGAATTACATCATGCCATACGCCATGACCGCCCTCTTAGATGAAAAGATGCTCAAGGTGACTCCCACACACACTCACAAAATAAATATGAACAGTTTCATAATGTATTTATGTGTCTGACCCCTCTTTGCCTCCTCTACTGCAGTATGAGAACATGACATCAGCGTCGGTGGAGGTGGTGGGTGCGGTATGTTGCAGGCTGACCTGGTCTAAATATCTCTACTACCTGAAACAGTTCATCCACATCCTGCAGACTGCACAGGCTGAACAGAAATTGGCTGTAAGGTAGGGTTGTGTGTGTGTGTGTGTGTGTGTGTGTATGTGTCCCTTATTTTTTTAACTATTAGGTTGCTTTTAATATTTTTGTATTTTTAACCTTTTTAATTCCCTTAGTTCTTTCCATTTAAATTAAAACAATTGATGCATTTTGTCAGTTTCCCTCTCCTCCTTCTCTTGTTTTCTCCTCAATCCTGGACTCCAGCTTGCTAGTCACAGTCCTTGAGGCTTTCCATTTTGACCACCAGACCCTCAGCAGAGAAATGGAGGCTGCTAAGGCCAGAGAAGGTGTGTGACTAGTCGGATCTTTCCTGTGACACCTCATATTTGCTCTCTCTTTCATATTTCTTTAAACAAATTCTGATATTTTTATGAAATGCAGAAATATAAATAAGTGGCTTCAGTTTTAATGAGCCCACATCATTATTGTACTTCAATAAAATGACACATGGTAAATAAAACAAATTTTTGACCAGCTGGGAGTGTCAAGATCAATGAGGATGGTGAGGACGGAGCTGCTGCCGACAAATCAGACTTAAGAGATGATGAAGAGGCAATGGAGATTGACAGGAAGACTGCTCCTTCTGATACTCTCATGGAAATGGACAGTAGTAATAGAGAAAAGGATGATGTCTGTCTGGAAACAACCACCACTAAAGCCAAGGGGCCAGTAGCTCCTAAACCTGCTGAGGTGGGCATCGGGCTGCCACAGGGCAAAGAGGAGCTGGAGACTCTGATCAGTACCATCCATCAAACTGTTAATGACAGCGTGTTGCCACGACTGCACAAGTGTCTCACAGCAAAGGTACAATGCACACACACACACACACACACACACACACACACACACACACACACAAGTTCTAATCTATTCAGAGGCAGACATTAGACAAAGGGAGGCAGTTTCCTGGGGCCCCCAAATAAGAGGGGTATGTACTATGATGTTTTAAACAATGCATACCAAACGACTTAATTGTTCAGAGATGCATATAACCTATTCTGCAGTAACTGGCAATGCACACAAAGCACCTCATTTATCATGCATTACAGCTAAATGGACTATTCCATTTCTGTGTCACTGTGACTGTGCACCAAATGTAAACACACTGGTGCCAAAGCTTTGATTTGGTGTTGCACCAAGAATCTGAACAGCAGAATCAGTCATTAAAAGGAATTATCCCAGTGGGAATTCTTACAAGAAGATGGAAAAACACCAATGAGGAAAACTACATTCAGGAGAGCCAGAAAGAGAAGTAGCAATGTGTTGGTGCAGTTAGCAGTTCTAGTTAAGCAAACATACAAGAAGATTTTTTAAAAATTGCTGTTTCCACTGTCATTAGAAACAGGATGGCCTTCTATTATAATGCAGACAAATGAAGTACACATATTTACAAATTATTTTTTATAGAGAGAATTTAAAATACTGTTTTCAATGCTGTGTGCATGGCATCGCATTTGTAAATTTAATGTGGCACAGTAAAATGTTTTCATTGTTACAAAAGTCTTATATGGGAACACATCCATGTGCACTATAATTTCACCGGTGAAAATTCTGTGACTTTTAAATCAAACAACAAAACGGAAAACTCCCCGCAATAATAAACCTTGCATGTCAGAAAAACATTTCTGTAAAGGGTTGGGCTTTTACTGACAATAAAATGAAAAGAATGATGTTTGCAGTTGCTAATCCTGACCAACCCATTATTAATAATGAAGTTACCACTGTTGTACCACATGCAAATATGCGCACAGGAATTTTCTCACTTTGGAGAGGATACCCATCCTGCTGCTGTGTGATAGTTACTTAATAAACTCTAAGGAAAGACGCCTACATTTCAATTAGCTGCAATCAACAGACAAAACTGCAGTTCCTCTTAATATTTTGATAAAATCTGTATTGCATTCAGTGGCAATCTGACACATTGTTGGTGATATTCATTAATCTGTTACAGACTCGCCTGTCTTGCATTACAAGTTGTATTCTGATATGATAAGAATAGTAATAGATATGAAGTTGCAACACAAACTGAACAAGTAAAAACTCACCATACCTGTAAGGCGATTAGTGATTTAGGAGAGGCCTGTGAGCACTAAGGCCACACAAACTGTTAGTGTGCCCTCTGTAAGGTTTATGGACCAGCATAGCTGCTGAAATACGCGCAGGGGGCAGGGGACTTTTTCCTAATAGCTTAAAGAGTGGCTTCAGGGCTTCCTATTATTTGGTGTGTGATTTGTTCTGGCAGACTGACAATGTGACACTTTGATTTATGGTAATCCAGTCCCCCTCCTACCAAACTTTTTCAGGCATGGTGGCAAGAGGATGATAAAAGTTTTGTACACAACACCAGACTTTTGGTTGATGGTTTCCATGTAAAGGTCATGTAAAACAAGGAGAGTATTAATAAGATGTGTTTATTGCACACAAATAACTGTTAAAGCTACCAATTACTTCAGAATCAAAGAAGTTGGAACAAACAAACAAAAATTTAAAATTGAAATCCACATAATGAAATATAAAAAATAATAAAACTATAATAAACTTGTTGCAAAGTTGTTGCAAACTGTAATTTGAACATGGTCAGCATTTTGAAACTAACTGCTCATTTTCTTATCATAAGCACAGTGTGCACGACTCATTACTGAACTTAATTTTTCATGGTGTTGAAGAAAATTTCACCATGGCATTATTGTATGAAAATTCTCACACAGCTCTGGGTCCTAGCCACTGTTATGTTTGCTTCTATCCACTGGTTCACCTGCAGCCTGTGTTTGAACCATAGCCTATAATCTCCTGTCACTGATGTTTACAAGGTGGAGCTTTGGATAAAAACGTTAGTGGTTTTGGCTGAGTGTCCCCTGGTTTCCATTTCTTGGGTGGTGCCATGCTCATCTTAGTGTTTATAGCAGCCAAATAGTTATGTTTTCCTGAGCTTAATTGCTTTATGAGAAATCATCTCACATTTACCCAATCTTCAGTACAACACACTTTTGCTCTTTGGTGACTACTTAGTGATCGGTTATGTTATGCTATGTTAAGTTATTATAACGGCACTGATTACTGACATGTTGCAGCATATTGAAGACATACAGTGACATTGCGGTTCCACGAGTAAATATTATTTATCACAAACACAGTGGAGGTTGGAGACACCTGGATGAAGAATCAATGAAGATAACACATTGTTTCCATAAACCTCCTTGTGTGTGTGTATATATCTCTCTCTCTCTCTCTCTCTCTCTATATATATA